CTGCAGTGGCCAGGAGTGTACACATGTCGCAGCCGCAGCAGGAGTTATAGGCCCTGCCATGGTTGGTGGGTGCAGCACCTGCCAAACATGACCTGTTCAAGTGAATGAGGCCGCTCTGCAAGTGTGATGCAACCTTGTGTTGTACAGCAAATAAGAGGTTAAAGCAGTCAGCATTGTGTTGCTTTCTCACCACCTCCTAACCCCTTGTACCCCACAAAAGCATGCAGTTGCAGAGTGCTTGCAGCATTGCCCCATTTACTTGGATGTATTGCTATTGACAGGCGGTAGCACCCTTCAAAAGCAACAGGGAGTTTAAATACTGCTTCAACATGTGTAAACCTTTGGCTGCTGCCTCAGCATCTAAAGGGGATAGGGATTGGGGTGGTAAAACTGCAACTCAACCACTGGTTCAACCACCCCCCAACTTTACATGTGAATGAGCCCTAAGGGTGCCTCGCCGATTGCAACTAAGAGCTCATTCACAAGTGCAGCAGGCACTACCGCTCCTCTGAAAAGCAATCCGAGTGTGTTTGACAGGTGGTGAGGAGGCAATATGTTGTCAAAATACCACTTGATTTCAACTCATAACTGCCATGCAATGCACACTATTGTGACACGGTACTAAGCAATTGGAAGTTTAAATCAGGTGTGAGGAGGCAACACTGTGCCCGGTGATCTTTGACTTCTCCCATATTGTTTAGGTAGATCTCCACCTCTTTAAGGTTGCCTACCCCTGCTCTATGGGGTTGATTTATTAAGGCAAATAGCATTTTGCAAGTGGTAGGTAGGCACTGATATGTGGCACTGATGGGCACTGGCAGGTGGCATGGATGAGCACTGACAGCTGGCACTGATGGACACTGACAGGTGGCACTGCTGGGGCTACACAGATCATCACGGCACACTGATCATCAGTGCGCTGATGATCAGTGTACATATCCCCTCTGAGGGATGCTGATTACCAGCTCTCCTCTCCTCTCGAGCTGTCAGCGTGACAGCTCGTGAGGAGAGAAATGCCGATAACCGGCATTTCCCTATTTACATGCAATCAGCTGTGATTGGATACAGCTGATCACATGACTGAGCCGACATCTTCGGCTCTTTCCATTGATCGGTGATCCGCTGTGTCCACTGCCGATGACCGCGCTGCGCGCTTAGAATGGGTGGACGTCATATGACGTCCTCCCAGAACGAGAGAACTGCCTTGCGCCTATCATTGTACTATATGGCGGGCGGGAGGCGGTTAATATAAATGGGGAAATGTGCATTCCAATGCGGTTTTGGTGTGTTCCAGTGCATTCCTTTGCATTTTTTTTTGTAATTATCATTTTATTAAGTTTTTTCACATGTACATACATACATGAAATTTGAGGAAAGAAGAAAAAAAGAGGCTCATAGATGATAATAATATATGAGAAAATAAAGAACATACAATTTCAATAAAGCACCCATGGAAGGATGTACATTTTGAGCAGAGATATAAACGTCCCATGAGTTCCATACTGCTTCAAATAGAGATGGCATGTAAAGATGTTCCATTTTTCTGATGTCTGTAATCTTAAATAAATGTCGGTTTTGAAGGGGGTGTGGAGGAAAGCCAGCTCATTGGAATGCTTCTCCTAGCTGCCGTCAGAATATGCATGGAGAGTTTTCTTAATGGTATGGGGAGACCTGGGAAGGACAGGCCCAGTAGAAAATAAAGGGGCTCAAAAGGGAGGGAAGTACCCAGTAGCAATCATAACAAGGACAGAACCTCTTCCCAGAAGGGAGTGGTGGACCTGCATTCCCAAAAAATATGATAAAGGGAGCCGGGTTCCCTCCCGCATCACCAGCAGGCAGGAGAAGCACTCGGAATACGGCCATGGAGTACATCAGGGGTTCTGTACCAAAACATCATAATTTTGTATGCGTTTTACTTATAGACTATGCACATAGACGATATGGATGCGCTTTCCCGTATTTTTCTCCAATGCACCAGGTCAATGTCACAGCGGAGAAATTGGGACCATTTATGCATATAGTGGTGAGTGTCATTGGATAAGGAATAGACGACCATAAGGAGCTTATAGGCATTGGAGATTGTTCCTCTTTCTATTTTCAGTTATTATGTACAGTTTTCTTAAGCCAGCTATTTCCAAACCAGCCTCAGCTCTCAACTCTTCAGTTCCAGTCCTGTGAAGACTGAGACTGAGCTCTGCAGTCACTTTTGCATCATTTGTTTTCTTAGGCTCCATGTACACGTGATGTTTGGAAAACACTTCTGAATGATGGAAACTGACTACTGAAAAACGTAGATTAAAAAACATCTGTTTAGCTACGTTTGCATACCTCGTTTATGAGCTTTTTTAAAGATAACCTCAGGAGACCTTCCAAAATGCCCAGAATGCACTGAAAAAAACTGTAAAAATTAACTATTTCAGACATTTTTATAGAAATAGAGAGAGCAGAAGCAGAGAGAGCAGTATATGTTGAGATTACCTATCTTTTCTGGTTGTATTCACTATGGATCCCATCATGAGCATAATGCAGTGTGTTCTACCATTTGTTCCTTCACGCGAAACCTAGAACTGACTGCACTGGTGTACTGAGTCCATTTGAATACATGGAAAACACTTTGCATGCATTTCTGATGTTGAAAAAAGGCTCTGGACAGCATCTGGAAATGGAACAGTTAAAAAATGCTTCTAAATGCAAACGCTTATAAACACGGTTAAGAGGGGTTAACAAGCTTTTGAAACGCTGATAAAATCTACTCCTGAACGCAAGTTTGATGCGTAAATAAAAACGATTGTAAACTCAACTGCCTGTAAACGACTGTGAACGACATAGTGTACATGGACACATAAAAAAACATTAGGGAGAGTTCAGGGGCTGCTAAAAAAAAAATGCAGAAAAGCTCCTGAACGTGAGTTTATCAGTTACATTGTACATGAGCCGTTATTCTGGATCACAATCCTGCGTAATGACCTTTTTGTCTCTTCCGATCATTTGACCATGTTGACCGCGCTTACGCTTATCAGATGACGTTTTCCTGGAAACTTTATATTGCCATCATAACCTTTGATACTTACCTTGTGACATCGCAAATTAATTGGCAACCTGAGGCACCAACAATTAGCCCTTTTTGAAGCTCAGTAAGCTCTGACATGACTACAGTGAATGACAAAAAGTGAGGCTTCCCACCTGTTAGCTAGGTGTTTCATCACACAAAGGAAGCAAAAGAAAGTTACATCACTTCCGCTTTCAATGCAAAACATGTCACTTTCACACCTGCAAATCATGCAGTGTTTCCATTTTTTTGTCTAACCCCTATAGAGCTGTTCACTCATATAACCCCATAAAGGAAGAATAATATATCCTAGATGTATCCTTGCTTTTGTTCATTTCCGTTAGTAAACCAGACCCATTGTGTGTAGATAATATGAAAAACTGAATCACAAGGGAACTTGAGCCATTACCTTTTTAACTATGAACAAAAAGAAATGATATAGAGCTATAACTCAATTAGAAAACCTAGCTAATGTCAGTGTTTCAACACTTCTTTCAAATCCTACAAGTGATAGCTAGTTAACTTGCTTTCAATACTTGATACTATTAGAAGAAATTCAATGATGTAACACATAGCATGATGCTAAATTAATCCCTCTTTTGCTAGGCTTCATTAGGCACTTATGTAGATGTTACCTATAGAGGAATTTTTGTTCTGCTGGCTTTTACACTCTAAAAGAATAATGAGCTCAGTAATGAGCTGTAGATTAAATTCAGTAAATGTTCAAAAAGCACACTAGTAGTTTCTAACATGTCCTACACATAGGTATACACACATGCAGCAATTATCTTTTAGATAGTAGGATAATCTGCGCTCAGGTCAACACAAATAATGAGGAGCTGCCCACACAATATCTTGATACAAACTAAAACATAAATGCAAAAAAAGTGTGCTGTGCTAAAACCACTGTGTAAAATCAAACATATACATCAATATAAATTGAATAAAAAAATTCCATAAGTGAGAAGCAGGTAAAAAAATGTGCATTTATTATTTTTTGTTTGTGGAGCCTGTAAAGCACGGGTGTCAAACTGGGGCCCTCCAGCTGTTGTTAAACTACAAGTCCCATGAAGCATTGCAAGATTGACAGTTGAAAGCATGACTCCCAAAGGCAGAGGCATGATGGGACTTGTAGTTTTGCAACAGCTGGAGGGCCGCCAGTTTGACACCCCTGCTCTAAAGCATTGCACCAACGATCAGCAGATCACTTGTGCCATGCAGGTCTTCCCCTAACCTGTCAGTATATATTATTATTATTATTATTATTATTATTATTATACAGGATTTATAGAGCGCCAACAGTTTGCGCAGCACTTTACAATATGAAGGTAGACATTACAGTTACAAATTAATTTGGTACAAGAGGAAACAGAGGGCCTGGCTCCTGAGAGCTTACAATCTAGGAGGAAGGGTTGAGTGATACAACAGGTAATAGCTGTGGGGGGATTGGCTGATGGAGGAAATAAATGGCGGTTTACTAGGTAGAAGCAGGATAGACTTCTTTATAGAGAGAGGTTTTCAGGGATATATTAAGAGACAGCTGGACAGATTGGGGTAGAGAGTTCCATAGGATGGGAGAAGCTCGGGAGAAGTCCTGGAGGCGGGCATGGGAGGAGGTGACACGGGAACTAGAGAGCAGAAGGTCTTGGAAGGATCGAAGAGAGAGGTTTGGTTGATATTTTCAGACCAGGTTGGCGATGTAGCTGGGGGCAGAGCTGTGGATGGCTTTGTAAGTAGTTAGTATTTTGAATTTTATTCGTTGGATGAGTGGAGGCCAGTGGAGGAATTGGCAGAAAGGGATGGAGGACACTGAATGGAGGTCAGTGGAGGGATTGGCAGAGAGGGGTGGAGGACACTGAATGGAGGCCAGTGGAGGGATTAGCAGAGCGGGTTGGAGGACACTGAGTGTCTACAAGGAGTCATTGACGGAGATTGTCTTCGAGGTCAGGATTCAAGAACTTGGAAGTCTTCTGCCCAGCGTGCTTCTTCTGATGCTGAGTGAGATGAGACTTTTGGGCAAAGCCTTTTCCACAATTCGGACACGACACAGGCTACAGGCCCTTGTGCTTGCTCTCATGGTAGAACAAGGACGAGCGCCACTGAAAAGTCTTCCCGCATTCAGCGCACAAATAGGACTTCTCCCCTGAGTGCATCTTCAGATGTTCCATCAGGCTGGACTTTTGGACAAAGTACTTCCCGCATTCCAAGCAGGAGAAGGGTTTCTAGTTGGTGTGAGACCTTCGGTGAATGACCAGCGTTGACCTCTGAGCAAAGCGTTCTCCGCACTCAGAGCAAGAGTACGGCTCCTTCCCGATGTGAGTCCTCTGGTGCTACAGGAAGCAGGACTTCTGGGCAAAGCACTTCCCACACTCGGCACAAAAAAAAAATATACATGCTTGCTCATTCATCTCATATAGGCAAGCAGATACTTACTGACAGGGCGGTTCAACGAACTACCTAGCACTATGGAGCACAGTGGTAGTTCAATGAAAACTACAAGCCGACAGCTGCAAAGACTGTAAGAACTTGTCATTTTCTTATTTACAAAACACTGTGAATGAGTGACGCGGGCAGAGCCCAACACGGCTGTATTTTTTAAAAAGAAGATAGTGGGGGGGGGGGGGGGTTGCGGTCTGATCAAAACTTGTTACACCCTGAATGTGGGTGTAAACGTCACATGTTACGAGAGGTGAACTTGTCCTTTAAAAGTGGAGAGTGCAAAATCTGGTGAAGCTGTGCATGATAGCCAATCAGCTTCTAATTTCAGTTTGTTCAATTTAGGTTTTGACAAAAAAAAACAGAAAACAAAGCTGCACAAGATTTTGCACTCTTCAGCAGGGGCGGACTGACAACTCATGGGGCCCCCGGGCAATAGGGGATCATGGGACCCCTGTGTCCTTGCCCAAACTCAAAAAAGCCTATGAAAAAGGTACCAGGGGCATCTCATGGGGCCCCCTACTGACCCGGGCCCTCGGGCAGTGCCCGAGTTTCCAAATGGTCAGTCCACCCCTGCTCTCCAGATTAAGTAACTCAACCCCACTGTGTCAGAACAAAAAATTCACATGACACTCGGTACTGCAAATAAATATCACAAAGTCCATAAACAGTTACTTCCAGGTGTGCTTGTGAAGAGAAAATGTATCCCAAAAAAATAGTTTGGACACAGCACCCTACCACTGTGATTTAGAGGCCGCTTACCAAACATTTACTCCCCATACATTGAGCAGTCATGTGAGTCATATATTGCATGTAGAGGAAGAAAAACACACAGGAAACCCCTAATGATGAAATGCGTTGAGATTAACTACAGTGTGCTGACGGCTTTCAGATCTTGTTTTTTAATCATGAGCAGAAATCACACTACTAGCAAAATGTGAGTGTTTTTATGGCTATGGTTTTATTCTATTGGGAGCGCTTCCTTTGTGTATATTTATTCTACATGCAGTACATGCCTTTAATGACAGCGTAGGTTGGAGGATCTCTGTGCCTGTTCTGTGGATGTTTGTACTATTACAGCTCACATAACTGTTTAATGTATGGGGAAGGGGGGTCATTATTATTTGATAAACAACTTCCTATGTGTTTTTTTTTTTCTTCTACTTGCAATATATGACACACATAACTGCTCAGTGTACGGAGAGTAATTGGTATTTGGTAAACAGCCTCTGAATCACAGTGATAGGGGGCTGTGTCCACACAATTCATTTTTGGGAAAATGTTTCTCTTCGCAAGCACACTTAGCAGTAACTATTTTAGGACTTTGTGATATTGAATGTCACATAATATTTTTTCACTTTGAATTTTGTTTGCTGGCAATGGGGTAGATTTACTAAAACAAGAGCATGCACAATCTAGGGCTGCTGTGCATAGTAGCCAAATAGTTTCTAGCTTCAGCTTGCTCAATTAAGCATTGACAAAATAAAAACAAAAAAACTGGAAGCTGATTGCTTTCCATGCAGAGCTGCAGAAGAGTTTGCACGCTCCAGTTTTAGTAAATCAACCCCAAAGTGTCTTGTTAATTATATTTTGATGTTTATTTACATATATATGAATTCACTTCTCACTTGTGGAACTTACTGTATATTTATAATTGATTTTACACAGTGGGTTTAGCACAGCACACTTTTTTGCAGAGATTTTATATATACAGTATATACCTAGATTGTAAGCTCCGAGGAGCAGGGCCCTCCTATCCCTCTTGTATTGAACTGTATTGTTGCTGTATTGTCTCCCGTTATATTGTGAAGCGCTGAGCAAACTGTTGGCGCTATATAAATCCTGTATAATAATAATAATAATGTGTGTGTGTGTGCACTGTATCCTGTGACTTCATCCACGTGCATTTTTTTTTTGTGTTCTGTTCATGTTCATTATTCATGCAATTAAATATGTGTAATACTTAGCCCTTCTTTATTTTATTATTTAATACAATGTAAAATGCAAAAGGAATTGCAATGTTGCTGAAGAAAGATTCACAGATGATTTCCCATGCTGCTAATTTTTTTAGAAGTTGGAATGAAATTACAATAATTGCCACTGTATATTGTGAATAGAGCAGAATGAAATTAGCAAGACAATCCACCACATTTCCAGAATTAAAAAAAAATGAGCCAGTTAGTTAAAGTGATAAAATTAGTTAATCTCAGCAACAATTATGAAATGCTTCATTACTATTTGGGTAGGCCACCTTCTTGTCAGAATATGTCATTTTAGCTCCCAATATTCCACTCATGACCTTACCAGTAAAATGCCATATAGACTGCTCAAAAAAAAGGAACAGTTTGAAAACACATCAGATCTCAACGGGGAAATATATGCTGGATAGCTATACTGATTTGGACTGGGAAATGTGTTTAGGAAAGTAGGAATGCCCCATCATTTGATGGAAATGAAAATTTATCAACCTACAGAGGACTGAATTCAAAGACACCTTTAAAATGAAAGTGAAAATATGATGCAGCAGGCTGGTCCATTTTGCTGAAATTTCATTGCAGCAACTCAAAATGGTACTCAGTAGTTTGTATGGCCCCCATGTGCTTGTATGCATGCCTGACAACAATGGGGCATGCTCCCAATGAGACGACGGATGGTGTCCTGGGGTATTTCCTCCCAGATCTGGACCAGGGCATCACTGTGCTCCTGGACAGTCTGAGGTGCAACCTGGTGGCGTAGGATGGACTGAAACATGATATCCCAGAGGTGTTCTATTGGATTTAGGTCAGACAAGCATGGGGGCCATTCAATGGTATCAATTCCTTAATCCTCCAGGAACTGCCTGCATACTCTTGCCACATGAGGCCTGGCATTGTCATGCAATAAGAGGAACCCAGGACCCACTGAACCAGCATAGGGTCTGACAATGGGTCCAAGGATTTCATCCCAATACCTAATGGTAGTCAGGGTGCCATTGTCTAGCCTGTAGAGGTTTGTGCGTCCCTCCATGGATATGCCTCCCCAGACCATCACTGACCTCCACTGAAACGGTCATGCTGAATGATGTTATAGGCAGCATAACATTCTCCATGACTTCTCCAGACCCTTTCATATTTGTCACATGTGCTCAAGGTGTACCTGCTCTCATCTGTGAAAAACAGAGTGGCAGTGGCGCCAGTGGCAGACCTGCCAATTCTGGTGTTCAATGGCAAATGCCAATCTAGCTCTATGGTGCTGGGCAGTGGGCACAGGGCCCACTAGAGGATTTCAGGCCCTCAGGCCACCCTCATGAAGTCTGTTTCTGATTGTTTGGTCAGAGACATTCACACCAGTGGCTTGCTGGAGGTCATTTTGTAGGGCTCTGACAGTGCTTCATCCTTTCATTGAGCAAAGGAACAGATACCAGTCCTGCTGATGGGTTAAGGAACTTCTATGGCCATGTCCAGCTCTCGTAGAGTAACTGTCTGTCTGCTGGAATTTCCTCCATGCTCTTGAGACTGTGATGGGAGACACAGCAAACCTTCTGGCAATAGCACGTATTGATATGCCATCCTCATGCTACCAGTAGTGGCACTGACACTAGCCACATGCAAAACTAGTGAAAAACAGTCAGAAAAGATGAATAGGGAAAAAAATGTCAGTGGCCTCCACCTGTAAAACCATTCCTGTTTTGGAAGTTGTCTCATTGTTGCCCATCTTATGCACGTGTTATTAATTTCATTAACACCAAAACAGCTGAAACTGGTTAACCACTTGCTAACTGTGCTATAGTCGAATGACGGCTATAGCGCGGTTGTCCAGTTCTGGGAGGGTGTCATATGACGTCCTCCCAGAACACTCCCTCCCATACGCCCTCAGAGGCACGCACCAGGTGATCTCCATGATCGCTGTATCCGTAGGACACAGCTGATCACATCATGAGGTAAAAGGCCAATCACAGCGGCCTTTTACCACGTGATCAGTTGTGTCAGTAAATACAGTTGCCGGTTATTGACTGCACTTTCCTCACGCCGTCACAGAGTGAGGAATGTACTGCCGATAACCAGCAGCTGTCACAGAGCAGATTGGCACTGATGATCAGTGCCCTGTTGATCAGTGCTGCCCAGCAGTAGCACCGGTCAGTGCCATCAGTCAGTGCCACCCATCAGTGACCATCATTGCTGCACATCAGTGCCTCCTCATCAATGCCCACCAGTGCCGCCTCATCAGAGCAGCCTATCAGTGCTGCCTATCTGTTGCACCTCATTACTGCTCAAATTTTATAATAGAAAAAACAAACTTTTTTTTCAAATTGTTTGCGTTTTTTTTTTTTTGTTTATAGTGTAAAAAATATAAACCCCAATGGCAATTAAATACCACCTAAAGAAAGAAACCACAATAAAATCAATGGGATCAGAATAAGGCAAATTAAAAATGGTAAAATGGTAGTTTTGTAGGTGAATAGGCAGAGGGTTGTCTAAAAATAGCATTCAGCATTGCAAATAAATAAATAAATTCCATTCGGCCAGGAGCAGTGATTTTTGTTTCAACGCTTAAATTGAAATATTAAAATGGCCAATTATGGGGCACATGCACGGCGATCCAAGATGGCGGCCATGTGAGAGCTGAGCTCCGCCATCCCTCAGTTCTCACAGCCCTCCCGCTCACCCTCTGCAGTTGTCACAGATCTGGGAGTGCACTCCCACACATCGGGACACAACCAGGCACCCATATGGGTAAAATCGGGCGTTGGAAGCCGCCCACACCGCCTTCTCCAGACCTCCGGCCCTCCATGCTGGATCAGTTTTTCACTAGGCCTGCATCCCCGGCCTCAAGTAGTTGCGGCGGCTCAAGTGAGTGCTCCAGAGGCTCCGCAGACATGGAGGGGACAGACGCAGAAGTTCCTGCTGCCCAGCTTTCTACTCTGGCGTTCTCTTCCTTGATGGTGGATATTCTGGAGGACAAACTGCAAGTATTTTCACACAATATAAC